AAAGTATGAGTTAAAAAAAAAAAAGTTTAAAATGCAGACCACAATTTTCCAGATCCCACAGTGACATCTTCACATTGTTTGTTTTGTCTGATCATCTGTTCAAAACTGTTCAGATATTTAGCTTTTAACATTTAACAACAAATAGTTGCCAGTACATTTTGTGTCTAGTCATTTTAGCTCTAAACTGTTTAAATTTACTGAGCTTTTTTTGGTTGGAGTGTTTTTTTTGCAGTGTGCAGTTGCGCCGGTTGAATTTACAGTGTTCTTGGCTATGGCCATGACACAAAATGTGAGTTGACACAATGTCATGAAGAGCTTGCTCTTTTTCTGAAAATCTGACCTAAGTCTTAAAGCATGGTGGTGATGGCGTAATGGATAAGACACATGCCTTTGGTGTGAGAGAGCCGGGGTTCAATCCCCCACTGTGACCCATCCACCAATGTGTCCCTGAGCAAGACACTTAACCCCTAGCAATTGTAAGTCGCTTTGGATAAAACTTCAGCTGAATGAATCAATGTAAAGTTAGAAGCATTTTCCAAAGAATCTTTATTACAATATTCAACCTGCTTCCGAGTTAAAAATTAAAATACTGAATTGGAACACGTGCATCTGCGGAAATTCTTGTTGTAAAATATCATCTTTTATGAATGTTTTAACACCGACCATCAGCATCTTATTTAACATTAACATTAACAGAATGCAGCAGCACCCACAGGGAAAAAAATACTTTCTCATGACTACATATAATTGACAATTCAAACCTTAACTCTTCGACAGACAGACAGGTACCGAACTGTGTTGTGAAAATAACCGACCGGCCCAGATCCGTCAGATGGGGTTGAAAGGACAAAGCATGTTCGCGGGAAAACAACGCCAGCATTCATCAAGTTCAATTACATGGAAGAGACATCAAACTCAGACAATGTGACGAGCAAATCAGCTCGAGTTTGGGAATGTTTTTTTTTTGTCTTATTAAGGATTTTTCCTCCTTCAATGGAAGAGACAGCCTATTACCAATAACAACGATTTGGATAAAGACATGAGGAAGATTAAAGAATCAAAGAAATAATGAGCTCTAACTGTCCCTCTTTGTTTTTCGCTCATAGCTTTCCTCCAGACATCAATCAGATTCTCTGTGTCTCGGATTCTTCCTGTATGATACAGTGGCATGCTGCTGCCATCTAAAGGTAAAAGACGGCTTTACTCTGTTCAGTGTTGTGTGTGACAGAACTATGAAACGCTTCATTACAGGTTTATCCAATAAATCGCTCCTCCATCCAAGCAAAATACTTTTCCTGTGTAAAAAAAATAAATGATGAACAAATGGCTTCAAAGTGCCACTTCACGTCACTGAGGATGTGTTGCTGATCTTCTGTGGGAGGGTGAAAGGTTGAGATGAACAAATGTGAGGGATTTAATTAGACAAACAATGCCGCTAACGTGACCAACGAAGAGGCAGGAGCACAAAGCAATATTACTGTAATCCCTTGTAAGCTCTTGCAAGGTAAAACTGCTAGACAAACATAGGTTTGGTAATGGTATACTGCGGTCCTAAGGCCTTCTATTTACATGCTTAGAAATACTTTGCATGGCATGTTTGGAAGTTACATATACAACTAACACCTGTAATGCACATAAGAGCATAATCATCATTGCTATGTTCTTACGTATGAATGAAAATCTTTTTTTCCCCATTGTGAAACCTAAAGGTAGGGGGGTGCTTCACTGTGTCTTTTTGATAAACATTTGTTAAAACAGTCAGCAATTCAATAACGTGAACACAAAGCTTATTCAGAGGTTAATGAAGCTCTGTGCTGCACAGTCATCATCCTGCCGTTCTCTTGCTTCCTGTTCAAGTTTTGCTTGTTATGTGCTGTCAATACATCTTTGCCCAGTAAAATATGCTATTATAAGTCAGCTTAGATTAGTTTATGTGTCCACAGAGAATACTTCTGATTGGCTGAGGGTCTGGTTTATTTTTAGATAACCGCACAGCTTTGACGTTGTTGCCTCAGCTGCCTGGAAGACTCCTCAGCTGTTACTAGGAAACAACTTTTCCCACTTGTTAGAGTGGTAAAGTACAGTTTATACCAAAGTTGACAAAGATTGTGTCAATACAAGGTTTTCGTTTGAGATGTGCATTCGTCTAATATACTATATGAATAGGCAATGCTTATGTTTCGATAGCCGTCAGATGGTATGTATGGGATAATTCACTGTGATGCAGCGGTTATGCAAAAACAAAACTATAATCAGAACACGTCAAAAATGGTCAATCCAATAATCAGTGTTCCCAAATTAGTGCTCAGATTCTTCTTTATACAAAAAGAGGCTAAACATCTCAAACAGTAAATTTGACTTCAGCTGTTTTGATCCTTCAATAGGTGACCATGGTATCAACAGCATTAGCGTAGGGCGATGTCTACAAAATTTCCATCGGACGGTGTAGCGGTGGTCTTATGTGCATGCGTTCACTCGCACAGACTTCACTCGGTTAAAAATCATTAACATTACGATGCCTCGTGATATCTGTCAGCCATCGCAGATGGATGATGGCATCTTCTATCAGCCCAACCCTAAACAGCATAATGCATTCTGATGAGTCCCATTATAGAAAATAATACACACGGCAGAGAAGTCCATTATTTTCTTACATTGGGACACCTAATCATGCACTCCAGCCTAAAACAGAGAAAGTTTTGTCTGCCAATTAAAAGTAGGCAAACTTACCGCTACATTTCAGAGAACACACAAACACACACACACACACACACACACACACACACACACACACAGGTTTAATCAGTGCGGATGTACTGTGGAGGCCTTTGCCCCCTTCTGTGCCAGGCACTATTGTGGTGATGAATGCACTGGCATATTGATGTCAAGTCTTTATTGTGTGGGTTTACGGTGGAGAGGGAGTGTTGATTATCTTGTAACCCCTCCGCCCTACTCCACACCTCGCTCCCTCTTAGCTAACAACGTCTACGTGTGTGTATGTGTGCGTGTTTATGGGTTTAGTCTAATGAAAGCTACATGCTCACGGCCTCCTTTCCCATGTTCACGCCAAAGCCTCAGACAGACACTCATGGCTGTGTCTATGTGCTGGGTCTCTCTTATCCCTCGCTTACATAAAAAAAAAAAAGGAGCTTTGAAGGGTGTTTGTGTTGCTCCCCCATGTCTCACTGTCACTGAGCCGCTGCCTCTGTCCTTGTTCAAAACCCAGATATTAAAGTTAGGCTACACAGTGGCAAAGACACAGCAAGTGAAAAGGGGAAAGATGATAGAAGATCTGTACACACCAGACAAAAAAATATAAAGCGGGAGAGTAAAAGGAATAGTTTCTGAAAGTCAGACATCTAAACAGGCACACAGATCACAAAGACAGAGGCATGGTTAGATCTCCAGTCAGCTCCCAAAACCAGAAAGGCGAGAATGAATGAGCAGAATGTAAAGGATGACAGGCATTTTGCTCTTCTAACAAAGCCTTTTAATGCCAGCACCCCACCTTTCTGCTATAATGTGCGTTTGTAAAGGTGGGGTGGACAAAATAATAAGAACACCCTATAATGGATTTCATTCCAAAACTATAATTCAAAGCTTGCTGCAATAAGTTTTTGTCGAGTTGTGGATTCGATTCACTTTTGAAACTGTAGTTTGTGGTGTTGTTCTGGTCTGCATTCTTTCTGCAATTCTGACTCCCCACCTTATATGTAAATGTGTAAGCTGAAGGGATACTGTGCCTTCTCTCAAGTAGTAAACATAACTACAGACCACATGATATCAGCACAATAATGGCCTGATCTAAGACATTTGTTGGAAATGAAGGACCAGACACAACAATGGCTCAGTGTGTCCAGTGCAGTGCATGTGTCCTAGTGGAGAACAAATAATGCCTCACAAGACCCATATAGCAAAGGTATTCTAGAAGCACTACTTGGGGAATTACAATCCAAGCCTAGAGTTTGAGCCCATAAGGTGGACCATCCTCTCGCACAATGTAAATCCATAGCCTTTGCTTTCATTGATGGACCTTTAACAGAAACCACTGCCACAGCTTCTACAAATGCACACAGCCTGAGAAAAGTACTGCCTGGGGCAAACGCAAAATGCTTTCTTCCATTTAGTCCACCAACTCACATAAGTAAATTTATTGTTCAGAGCTGATATGTGGCATGTAGGCTTCGACCTCATCACTCCCCCCCAGTAATTGAAGAGTGGCAATAATAAACATCCTTCCCTAAAGCAAAGAGCTATCTGTCATGAATCTGCTGGGTGGGTGCCAGGGTCCAGGGTCCAGGCATCATACATGTTCATCTTTCTGATTTACCACAAGGGGAATATACTTAAGTGAGCACCTGCAGCAGTACCTCAAGACATGTCACCTAAGCAGCTGCTAATTATTTACATTAAAATCACAAAAACGCATGACTTCAAGCAGACAATCTCCTGTAATACAATGTTAGTGTAGCACTGAAGAGCAGCAAATGATCAGTGCGTTACTAGTCGGGTTGCAAGTGAGTGAGGCTGCAGTATATAACTGCAGAACAACAGCCCCATAGCTAGGATGGAGTTATCAATTGTTGCACTTAGCTGAACATGAAATGTGTAAAGAAAATGTGAAATGTGACTTAAGGTGAAACAAAACAGCAGTTTACATCCAAAAAGCCGATACAATATTACATTAACCAGAAATTGCACTAAACCAAAAGGCAAAACATCAAAAACATGCTGTAAAACCAACTCCAACCCTCATATTTCACCTCCAAGAAGAAACAGCTCAGCAGAGGGGAAAAAGCTCCTCCATTACAATAAATGAACAATTAAAGTTAATACCAAAAACCAACCAAATAACGGTAGGCTACCCTCGCAAGGTGACAGCAACAACAGAACAACAGAACAGAGCCATTAGCATACAGGTAGCCTCAGATCTTGCAAACATTTCCAAACACCAACTAACACGCACAGCACAGATGCTAGCAAAAAAAAGCAGCTCTTACCTTTGTCAAGTGAAGAATTGGGAATATATCCTTTGGGAAGATTCAGGTCCACTGTTCCCGAGTTATATTAGCCAACAGCAGGAGAAGAAACTCCAGCAGCTGGCCTGTAACGTTAGTTCACGTTTGAGGCCGGTGAGGCAGGTGCAGAACACTCCTCCACAAATCCCTCCTGAAGTGACTTTAACTTTCCTAACTTAGTCTATGACACACTACATAACAGTATAGCAAGCACTGAGTATTTTCACTAAAGTTAGCAAAACAAAAACATTACAAAGTCAGACCCCCCCCGTGCTAGACCAAAAAAGTGGGCATTTGACTATTGACTTAATTAAGCCTCGTCCCAATGGTGCGTTTCACGTCTGTCACGTGACTGTAGCACCGCACTGGAGGTTTGGACAGAGAGCAAGAGCCTCATTTGAAATGAACATCTCATTTAAGGCTACTTTTTACCAGCAAGCTGATTAAAAACCACTTTTACCACACTTCTTTGGACGGTAGGCTATTATTAATATAGCCTAACATCATGTAGCCTAAGTTAATGTTATATGCTGTCCCTTTTTATGCTGTGGTGAGCTAAAGACAATAAGATTTTATTCTATGTTATTCTAATCTATTCTAACAATTAAGAGAGAGAGAGGTAAAATTTGCTCAAGAACAAAAAAATATAAATATAAGGTGAGAACAACTACTAGTCCTACTGCTGATGTGTTCGTGATGTAATTTTACCACTGGCCACATTTCAATGCACTATTTAGAAACATCTTTCCTTTCCACTGAAGAAATGTTTGAGTAACACCCAAACAACTGAAAAATAATTTTGAGTATTTAAAAAGATGCCTTAATCAACCTAACACACTTTGATATCAGCACTGACTTAAAATGCTGCGAGTACACTCACTTACACCTAAAACATAGAGAGTCAAACTAATGACAATGTTTTACATTAATTGCACTCATTGCACGTTTAACTTACGGCCTAAGTGCAGTAGTAACAGCAGCACTCTTTATTTGCCTCACTTGAAATATCCTTGCGTCTGCAGCTCTCCATCTCAGTTCCGGGGTGCTATACACCTGCAGTAATTGCCACCAGAGCGATTGCTCCTCATTAGATGCTATGGAAGCTATAATTGGCTATCCCAGGCACAGCGATCAATGCTATCGTTATTACCAGGATTTCAGGCACCCAGGCCCCAGACAGCAGGCCCAGTCGAGGCCAAAGGGGAACTGGAACGGAGGGGTTGGGGGTGAGGGAGGTTGGGAAGGTGAGGCTCCACAGCTTGTTATGGCTGCACAGAGACTGGACAACTACTTGTCTAGGTGTCTATCAACAGCTTGCCATCCAGCATTCATCTGCTCTCTCCATCCAGCTCATTGATACTTTCCTCTTTCAGCCTCATCCCATCTCTCACCCTGCCTCATTAATGGGAGTCCTTTTCCGTCGTTTCTCATTCTGCATCACAAGCCCTGTCAAAGGGTCATATTGTGTCCAATCTACAGTAGGAATTCCAGTATTAAAACTATGATTGCGAGTTTATTTTGCTTCATTTTAGAAGCACATGTAATAAATTGCTGCATGTTTAACTAATAACACAATTGTTTTGTAGAGCTTTTAAAGCAATTATAATATCAAGGCAATGAACGTGATGAAATGTGGTCAGATGACCAACTTCCATCAATTACAAAAAAATTATAACATTATTAAATAAACTCCCTTTAAGTTGTTTGCGTGTGTAAGTTTGAGTGTGCACATATAAGTTGTTGAGCAATGAATGAGCTAGTGACGAATCCATGTTTTTATTCACATAGATCCACATGAATTGGAAACAGTGATAAACATTTAAAAGCAAAAGTGTGTTTTAAGCAACATCTAAACCTCAGTAATGCATTTGAGACATCTTGTAGTAGACCAAGTAGAATAAGAGAAAAGATGGCTGCCCTTTAGGTCTCACAGTGATTTTATTATCATTATGGATCATTACAGGTCATGAATTAAGTTGATTATGCAAATGAAACTTCAAGACTCAACTCAGGCTTTCAAAAGTATTACTCATGACGCTCCTGATAATCTTTCACAGAAAGGTGAAACCTCCAGACATCCAGGCAGACACATTATTGCCAGCACCGGCTCTCTTACGTCTTTCACCTGTCTGCTTTTGTGGATTAATTTATCTCTCCATTAGCCAAGAATCTTCCCTCCTCCATAAAGGGGACTTGACTTTCTAGTGTAATGTAGAAAAGCTTTATTTAGTCAAAGTTATTTATACATCTATACCACATGACTGAGGTATGGAGTCATCTTAAGCCGTGACAATATCCTTTGAAAAATCAGTTCCTCATAATTCCCTCCAAAACTAATATTTTAAATGCAACATTTTGATATCCCTAGCTTTTCTTTTATCTTAAAAACCATGGAGCGCCTGTGGTTAATGCCTTTTTTCCTGTTCATCTTTTAAGGCAAGGCCATGAAACCCTGCAAACAAATCCAAAAGGCAGGGCAGGCAAGAGTCAATTAGCTGACCTCAAGTGGTAGACAAACAAAGGAGCTATAAACTCAGCAGTGGCAGCTGGTGGACAGGGGAGGAATGGCAGATCTGCAATGACAAGGTTAGAATAACCAAAGGAAGTAAAAGCAAATAAGAAAAATAAAGACACAACATTACAACAAGCAGACACCACAGGCTCATCAAAATGGCTGTTGTAAAGTCAAATAAAGGCCAATTTATAAGGCAGTATAACCTCCCATAACTTGTTTTATGTTCAGTAAAGGCTTGGTTATGTGTTGTTTATCAGAAACTACCTCTTTTAATTTGGCACCGCATGACCAGACGCAGTCCAGAATAATGAGTCTGGCTTCCAAGGAGCCAGGCTAACATTTTAACACCTATACCCATCTTGAAATATTATTCAAATAATTTAGATTAAAATCCATTTACATAGTATTGGGAGATTAACTGCCAATTAATCTATTAGCTTTGAAACATTTAACGTAATATTAATATTATGTGTTTTTCTCATCTTGTATTATTCCTGCAGCTCTATCCTCTGTTGGCTGCAAATCTTCATTTTCCTGTTTAAATAAACAAATGCTTTATCAATTTAATACATCAACAATTAATGAGGCCTTTCATATGAGCTCATATGAAATTAGAAGTTTATTGTATTTAGTACAGTTTGTTTTTCATTGCCTCTACAACAGTTTAAAGTGAGTCTTAAGTTTTTGTCCTATTCTGTTTTTCTGTCCTTAATAGACTGAAAATCTGGCATGTTGTATCAGATCCAGAATTTCTTACGTGGCATGAACTACTCCTCAGTTCAGGAAAGAGAGCTTAGTTGATTATTATTATTGTTGGTTGATATTGGTGTTGTTGTTGATGTACAGTACCTTTCTCCGTTGTGTTTTTTATGCTGCACCAGAATTGCCCTCCAGGGAAAAATAAAGCTTTATTGAATTGAATTCTGAGAGACATACAAACCTTCACCATTACACTAATAGCACACAGTTATTTTAATGATTGGCAGCGGCCCCTGATGATGTGAAAGCTCTGCAGCATTTGCTGTAATTAATAGCATCACCACATGGCGTGGTGGCTTGTGATCAATTTTCATGAAAGCTGTAATCACCAATATCGCTCAAACAGCCTGAGTTGATTGACTCGAGCACGGGGAAATTACACGTGATCGAGAATCTGAGGATGTAGGACACTTATCATCCATGTTGTATGTTCACAGGCTCACAGCTTTGAGTGGTTTCATTCCAGTGTGTTATTTTTTAATGGGTACAATACTTTCAATGAGGCTTTAAAGACAACTTGGATTCGGTTATACATTGAAAAAAGAAAGGTTAAATCTTATTGAATCTTACATGCACTTCATCTGTAGGAGGGAAGAACAAGGATTAATGCAGAGAAGTGTATTTGTTGTGTCACACTGCCCTCTTTAGGATATAGTGTGAAGAAAAGAGCAACATCATTGAGGAGACCACAGAGGGGCAGTATTCACCTGATAACTAAAAATATTAAGTGTGTATTTCTCAATGAATGAGTTCAAATGCTACAAATCTTATTTGATGCAATTAGCTATTGAATGTGCTTTAGACACTTATTGTATTCGTATTTTCTTCATAAAATATAAGGTTATAAGTTTCAATTCCTCACTGTATAATGGCTGGAGGCCAACAGAACACTCTTCTAACTTTAAGTTGGTGACCACAGTTTCATCATTGTTTATACACTTATTAACTTGACAGTCTCAACAACAGGAGTACAGCCAGCCAGGGCAATATGTGGAGTACATAGCATGGCTGAGTTTAAATACAATTGCAATTACACTCATTGGATGAACATGGTTTGTAGAAATGAGGGGCTAACTTTTGTGTTCAGATTCTCAGTGGATGTGTCTAATTAATTCATTAATGGAAACTGTGTAACTGTATCAAACAGGTGCCCCCACATAATCAGAAAGCTTATTTTGAGATGGAATTGAAATTTAAGTTAAAATGAAGCCATTTTTATTAATGAGGCTCTTAGGCTGTTCAACAGCACTTCATGGAGAATACGTACATACAGCAGAATGATCCATCCATCCTTCCTATTTCTTCTCAACCCTATTCAGGATAACGGACATCACGGTTGTGAAATGTATATAAAAACACGTATGATAAGACTAATAAACTGGAACACAGGCTTATTCTATGTGCTTTTGTTTGTATTCTATGTGCTTTTGTTTGTATTCTATGTGCTGATAATGATTTGTGTTAGACTGATAAAAAGGCGAGTGGCACAAAATTTTAATCAAATGTATGCCCAGTTTATAGATTCACTAACAGACCAATGTTGACCTTTTATTAAATACCAGATACTGGCCAGTGATTGTCGTCCTCCATCGCTGTCAAGAAAGTTTTATAAAAATTCTGACTTTTGTATCTTACCTCATTGTATTTACATATTTCATTGCTCAATCGTGTTGTTTTTTAAATTACTTTAAACAGGATGTACAGGTAAATGAAAGTTAAAGTCTGTATTTACATTTTTCACATGCTATAGCATTGTTTTACAGTTCTCCATCATATGTTGAGGTGAGGACCGTAACGTGGATATCACTGAAAATTGTCCACTGTTCAGGGGCAACTTCCTGGTGATACATTTTGATTTTCTTTATTTAACTTTACATGTTAATAAGGTGTCCCTGGCTGCACTTTTATTGCTTGAGTGTGTCATTTTGAGAGGCTCACCCAGCATTTCCAACGGACACATCTTCATGGAGGATGGCTAGATGATGCCCTTGATGAAGC